AAAAAAAAAAAAAAGTGAAAACAAGACTGTAGTAAAACTCAACACTGGTTTTTTTTAAAAAAATCCATCAGCTAATCCTATAATTTGACAATAAATGCACTTTTTCTAATAATGTAAGTACTCAAAGTGAACACAATGCAACAGACCTCAAGGAGCTCCACTAGGTCTGTGGACAGTGCTCTGTTTCTCTCACGCTCCCGGGAGAAGGTTCTGGTCTGGGTTTTTTGCTTTGTCAGACCCTGCTCTGCTCTTGGTAGCCTGCCTGGGGTCAAAGTCTAGTCTCTCTTCACTTCACCCTCGGCCCCTCCGGGCGCAATTCAGCCCTCCTTCTGAACCCTACAGGATTCCAACTTTGAACATTTCCAAGGACATCTTTTGTGTGGCTTCCTAGGACCAGATTTTCCAGAAGCCATGTGTCCTGGGGATTTGTCCATTGTGTCAGTGTCACTGTGGCTCAGGACTCTGCCTCCGCATAGCAAGTGCTGCATTTCAGGTACAGCCCACTGTGTCTATTCTACTGAGACAACAAGTTCAAGTCACCCCAAGGTTTTGCTGTAACGTTTCCCAACACTGATAAAAAATGTTGAGTGTCCTCAGACTGTCCCCAACAATGTCACAACTCAAATCCTGATGCCTTCAAGATGTGCCTGCAGGGCTGGAAGAAGCTGCACTCCAGGGTAACTGTTGCTTCTGGGGTTGGGAACAGGACATTTTTACCCATTTAATAACAGGTTGGTTGGTGGCTATCCATTTCCCGAGAGCTTCTCATCCTATCCTTCTGAAAGTTCCTCACACCTGCCTCTTTAGAATACCATTCCCAACCCAGATCCTGTACATAGGATTCCCTGTGCAGAGCTAGCATCGTGCAACAAAGCACCTGACACCAGACCAAAGCCTGGAAGTGCCTTCCAATTCAGGTCCAGGACACTGAGTTCAAAAAACATGAGTAATATGGAGAGGGGACTGTCTCTTCCAGAGATCTGAGCCATGGCAGGGCCATATCACCAATGTGTGAGTGTGCTGCCAAGCATGTATGAACACACGCTGAACACATGAAGCATGTGAGCATGCATAATTACCATGGATGCAGGAACGCATACATGCAAGGTCACATGCATGAGCATATGAACACATTGTGTAGCACACACACACTGTTATGATTGTATAAGGCATGCATACATGTGAGCGTTTGTGTTATAAGAGCTGTCACATCAGAAATACACACCAGTTCAAAAATCAAACATGTACAGACACTACATACCACAAGTCACAGAAGTTTATAGCTTAAATAAAACCATCTTAGACATCATCAGCCCCAGCTTGTCACTGCTAAGACTGATGGTCTGCCTGTGTCACTTGTAAAAAGGCAGCAGACAGCTAGTGACACCTGGCAAGGGTTGGAGATGGCTGTGTCACTTATGTGTCCTTACACTGCCCCCTTCCCGGGGCAGGATGAGGTGACACATGGTGTGGAGTTACCTGGAGTGTCTTTAACGTTCTCCAGCCTCTTCACCACCTAAGAAATAAGAAAATGTGTCAGTATGTCCATCTAGTGAACCACAGTGTGTGGGGGAGTGATTGGGACTTGAGACCTAAGGGCAGGGGTGTTGTGGCTCCCAGTTTAGGGCCAAGTTCTTTGCTGCTCAGTGATGGAGAACCCAAAAGTGGGAAGGCAAGAGAAGAGGAAAGAAAGATTTCTAACTAGTCCCAAACACTAGGAAGGCCCTCTAGGTTGCAGGAAGGCAGACGTGGACAATCCTGGCATCATGGCCTAGAACTACAGCTATGGGGGTACAGGTGGCTCCAGAGGGAGGAAGCCCAGAGCCATGATCCTCCCAGCCACCTCTGCAGGACTCTGGACAGATAGAGAGAGATGGGGTTGGACACAGGGCATGGTAGGGAGAAAGAGAGAGGAGGAGACAGCAAAAAAGAAAAGGTGTGGTGGCCAGGATACCATATGACTCTTCGCTGTGTTCAGAGAATGAGGCCTGCACTTCCCAGCAGCCTCCACAAGACGTGACCTCCTGCCCTCAGCTGCCCTCGCCAAGGCCATCAGGGAGGATGTACCCCCTTGGACTTCTTCCCTTCCCACTCCTCATTCATCCCTGGATCACAAGCCCCTTTCTTACCTTCTTCTGTGACCTCAGCCCCTGGGGCACCCAATAGGGCATAACAGCCCTATCCCTGGGCATTGGAAGGCAGCCCCCAAAGCAGTGGCAGGGGCAACGACATGACCTTATGGCTCTGGGAGTATAACGTCGCATCATCTTTGAGACCTACCAGTGGACAATAAGAAAGGTTCAAAGGGATGAAGGAGGCACCAAATACGATGGCACATGCCTTTAATTACAGCATTCAGAAAGCAGGTGGATCTTTGTGAGTCCACAGCCAGCCTGGTCTACATAGGGAGACCCTGTCTTTAAAGGGGGAGGCTCTGGCACAGCTAGTAGAGTGCTTGCCTAGCATGCACAGGAACCTGGATTCCATTGCCAGCACCACCAGGCAGAGGCCAACAAGATGGCTCAGCAGACAAGGGCACCTGCTGCCTTCCCTGTATGCCTGTATTTGATCCCTGGGACTCACAGTGGAGAGAACTGGCTCATGTAAATTGTCCTCTCACTTTCTACATATGCCCCTTGGCACATATACATACCCCCCACACACATATATACACAACACAGTAAATAAGTAAATAAATAAATGTAAAAAATTCCAAAACAAGCATGTTATTTGTGGTAGTTTGAATGAGAATGGCCCTTATAGGCACCCGTGTTTGACTCCTGGGTCTGTACTTGCTGGGACTCTTTGGAAAGAATTAGGAGCCCTGTGGTCCTTTTTCTTTATTTTTTTAAATTAATGTATTTATTGGTATTTTTTGATACAGGCCTGAAAATCACTATGTACACTAGGTTGGCTTTGACCTCACATGCCAAAGAACTTCTTGGCACATTGTGGGTGGTGAATGAACTGTCTAGAAGTGGGTAGCAGGGACAAGTGGTAACTGCCCTTCTACCTCTCCACCCAAGTCCAGGTAGTTATTTCTGAGTTTCTTTGGCCCTGGGTAATGAGGGCATGTGTCAATACATGGGTGTCAATGCCATGTCACTCAGTGAACAGCTCTCAGTGGGCATGGACTGTCACTCAGTGGAAAGTACTTACCTAGTTTGTTCAGTCCCCAGCTAAAACCAAAACTGTGTCCCAGAAACTTCAGTCATAGAATACCTGTGATTCTGATGGGCTTTGGACCTGGACATGTGTCCTGGCCCTAAGTTATGACCTGCCAAGTCACTTAGTTACCTGCTTTCGTGGTCTCAGGGACAGGGGCACCCAGTATGGCAGCAGTGCATCAGCCCGGGGCACAGGCAAGTGACCCCCAAACCTGGCATAGCATTGACAACACATGCACTCCTGGAGGACGGTGCGGAGGCTGGGGGACACCTGAGCAAAGCACACAGAGGACAGGACTAACCAGGTTGCACCTGAGCAAGACACAGAGGACAAAACTAAGTGTGACAGGAGTGAAGGCCAGTACCCAGGGGAAGGGACAGGTACTCAAGTCCACCTGTGGCTCAGGATGAAGCTGGCTACATGTTTATCAGCTTGGGTCTACAATCTGGGTTGGGGAGAATCCTGATCACTTATTGCTGCCTCACTGTCCCCAAGTCTGTCTACGGAAGATTCGAGCAACTGGAGTCAGGAAGAGACGACTACTCCCTGATACACCTGTGGCTTTCTGCATGGTGCTGACCATGTGTTGAGGCCACCACCCCCTCTATGGGGCAGATGAAGAAGCTGGTGACCAGGACAAGACACTGAAAGGGCTTCTAGATTTCCTAGGGTGCCTGGTCTCAGAGGGAGGGGACTAAAAGGGAGGAGGTGACACTACAAGGAGATATGGGGACACAGAGATGACCCATACAACCACATGCTTCTATGCAGGGCCCAGCTCTAGATCCTCATCTTCCCCCTGTCACCCATAGGAGGGACAAGAGGCTGAGGGCATGTCCTCACCGAGTGACCCGTGATGCACACTTCCTTTCCAAAGGTCTGAAATGAACCCTTCCTAGAAAAGAAGAACACATAGCTGAGTGTTCTGGCTCTGTGCAAACTGTAGACTGGGCACTGGTGACCCTTGGCACTAAACTCAGTGTAGAGAAGTCTTCCTTCTGAGCCCAGGAGGTGCTTCCTGGTGACAGAAGGGCAGGCTCACTCATGTGGGAACTTCCCCACTGGTGTGGGACCCTGTGTTCCCAAGCCAACTTCCTTCAGTACACTCCAGCTAAAGCCAGGTTTAGTTCTCAGGAGGGTCCTAAGACCAGAACCTCCCAGGACTCCACTGAGGCTTTGTTGGGTATACACAGCCTTAGTGCAATAAGAGGGACAGACTGTCAAAACTTCAACAAAAACCCAGTAGACCTGGTGACTTTGCCTCAAGGAAGACAGGACAAGACACAGAGGAACAGAGAATAGAACAGGACAGGGCAGAGAGAAGACAGGGACAGAAGGGGATAGAGGACACAGCAGTACAAGAATTCTTGGAGTTACTCTTCCCCAATCCCAGCCACACATTGCCAGGTTGTTCACCATGAGAATTTCTGGTGTACCAGGTAAAACTGATTTCCCATGGTGGGTGTCAGCTTGCTTTGTGTCAGAAAGCACACACTATCTGAGTGGTTTTGTGTTTCATTATAATCATCACAATCATTATTGTTTTGTTGAGGCAGGATTTTGCTATATAATTCAGGCTTGCCTTGAACCCACAAGATTCCTCCTGCTTCAGTCTCCCAAGTGCTGGGATCTCAAGAGTGTCTGGGTGTGCTTCGGGCCTTTGCACTCGGTTTTTCTAGCTGATGACTGAAAACAAGACACAGGGACTGACCTGCACAGCATCCAGCCTACCCACATCAACCCAGCCTGGAGGTGAGGTCAAGTTGGTCTCAGAGATTGGTCACTACAGCGTCATAACCCTTGAGACTAAGTTTGGAACTGCCTGTTGGAACTAGTAGGAGCAGTTAGCTGGGCTCCTTCTTTGATGAAGGTGCTACCCTAATAACAAGGAAACATCATGAGGTCTAGGTGGTCACCCAGCCTGGAAAGGAAGCCAGCAGAAGGGAAAGGTGAGGGCTAAAGAGAAACCATGCAGGGCCATAGTCCTTGCACACCTGGATACAGCCATGCTTGAAGGCCTGCTCCTGACATTTCCAGAGATGGAAAGAGTAGGTCGCCTTTCCGTTTCCTTGCCACTGCGCTACCGCTGGACCGGGCAACCCCGGGGCTCCAGGCACTCACAGGTGAGCTCCGCGGTCACCTGTGCAGGCTCTGGGCTGACCTGATCTGTCATGGTGCTCTGTGCTACACAGCCGTGTCAGCCCAAGGCCAGGCGAGGTCCAGAGTCCTCGCAAGGGCCCGAGGGTTGCGGTGCTTCGCAACAGCTTCCCGCTCGATCCGCTGATTGGCCTTCAATCAGCCAATCAGGAATTGCCGTATTGGTCGTGCACTGAGCTGGCAGCTGATTGGCTACTCGCAGCTGCCGCTGATGGGAACCATGGTACAGAGTGGCCTCTGGACACTTGGCTCTCGCTTCCTTTGATCTCGTCGCCCGAGCTGACGCAGAACCCGAGACCACTCACCATTTCCTGTGGATGGTCCTGTGCGTGCGCGAGGCACCCCGGTCCCGGCCCCGATCCCCTGAAAAGAGACAGAGGAGGTAGGACCGGAATGGTGGCTCCCATGGGCTACATTCCCTCTGTGGGTCCCTGTCTGGGACCCACTTCTATCCAAAGCCATTTGTTATCAAATAGGTGGCAGCTTGGTGACCCTGAGCTTCACACACTTGTCAGATAGCGCAAATTTTAACTTTAAAAGAAATGTTTCCATCCAGGGCTTTGGTGCTCTTGGGGCCAGTGAGATAGATGGCTCGGCAGGCTAGGGCGCCTGTTGCCTGAGTTCGATCCCAGGACTCACATAGTGGAAGACGAATACTCCTGCAAGTTGTCTGTCCTCTAACAACCATATGTGTGCCACACACATCTCACTCCCCTACCCCGAAACAGTCAACAGAGTGGGAGAAAATCTTATCCAGCTGTACTTCAGGCAGGGGTTAAAATACAGAATTGACAAAGAGCTGCAAAAGTTTAGCACCAAGGAAACAAAGCTGCTGACCAGCAAATAGGTAGCCGAAGGGAACAGACTTCTTCCAGGTGGCTCCTTCCAGTCCCATCCCACGACTGCCCTTAGCAAAAGAGAAGAATAACAGACACCTGCTGTCATTCTGAAATATGTCCCTACAATCGCCCTCTGGCACTGTGGATCTCAGTCCCTGGGCCTTCTTTCTCATCTGTTTGCTGAGTCACCTTCCCATGACTAAGGGTCTGCCACTAGAGGATCCCATATTGAGGCAAGCTCTTCCCAGCAACCCTCTGACAGCCACATCCACCAAGAAGAGGGTGCTTGTCCCACGGCCCCTAGGCCTCACGCTGCTGCAGTTGTGCCACAGACCAATGGCAGTCCATAGCTGGCAAACGGCTCAGTCAGAGACCTGGTGGGCTGGGGTGGACACACCAGCTTCCCTGCATTCAGGTGTGTTGGCTGATGCAGCTGCATGCTGAACCTCAGCTAATAAACAATGGGAAGCAACTCAACAAAAATAAAATTCTGAGGATGCCAGAAAGGAGAATAGCCGCCACAGCCATGCTGGATGGTAGAGCAAGCTCACAGCCGAGCTGTCCAATGATATCATCCTGGCTGCTCAGGAGGTTGAGCACAGAAACTACTTGAGAACGTGAGGATTGCCAAGAATTACAGGTCTACAGAGTAACCCTGTCTCAAAAGAAAGAGAGAGGGGGAGGGGGAAGGAAGGAAGGCAGAAAAATTAAAACAAAATGCTAGGAACACATTCTCCTGCTGGGGACACTTTCCAGGTCTTTCAGGCTGGACTTTGGAAGGTTCTAGGGCGAGTTCACCCCAGTGTCTCTGACCGTGTCATTTTACATTTCTTCTTCTTCTTCTTCTTTTTAATTTAAGGTTGGTTTTGAGTTTTTTTGGTTTTGTTGTTGTTGTTTTGGTTTTTCAAGACATGGTTTTTCTGTGTAACCGTGGCTGTCCTAGAACTAGCTGTGTAGAAACCCAGGCTGGCCTTGAACTTACAAAGATGCACCTGCCTCTGCCTTCTGAGTGCCGGATTGATTTAAAGGTGTGTGACGCCACAGGCCAGCTCAGTTTACATTTCTTGTTTAGTGCCCTTGCTACAGGAGAGGGGGATTTCTTAGCTTCTTGCTCTGACTGTGGTATTGTGACCGTCCCAGAGGTAGACACACACTTTCAACTCTGCTATCGTGGCTCTTACCTTTTCCTCTTAGGGTCACTGGTATCATCGCCACCCTTTCCTCCCTGTCTCCAATGGTGACACGTTCTTTCAGTGGCTGTGCCTGGTCTTCCTTCACTCTGTCCTCCCCCAATATGCTGTGGGATATGGTGTCACCATCATCTTCCTCACTGTCATCGGAGCAGGAAAGAAAAGAGGCCCACACAAGCTCTAATAACTTGCTACTTTCCAAATGCCTGTCACCCTGTACCACAAAGCTCTAGGGCTCCCTGTGAAATATCTGTGAGAAGTGGCCACCTACTTGCCTGTGCACCCTCTGTGCCCCCCACAACCATGGTGCTCTGTGGGAGCTGGACTTCCAATGGAACTATGGAATGCTGGAAACAGAAGCTCCACGGTGATGATAGGACAGGCCATCCTTCTCAGGCAGCCCCTGTGCCCTGTTGACTCCAGAAGGGCAGAATAGGCCCAAGAACTGCAGAAATGGACAGGAATAAGGTCTACTGTGCTAGGCTCAGGGTGTGTAAAGCTCCGTGGTGACTTCTGAGTGACCATCTTCAAAAGGTCCACCCATCGCAGGACTCCAGTGGATGCTTTGTTGATCCAGCAGCAGCTGGCCTGGCCTGATGTCAATTGAGCGACCCAGCAACTCCATGCAGCGGGCTCCAGAGTTTAGCCAGAGACTGGGGGACCCAGGCAGCAGCCTATCATAGCCCCACTGATGCACAGGCAACTGTCAGTTCTTCCCTCAGCTCTGTTCCACAGCCAACCCTCCCTAGCTCCTCACCCATACCTTGATACTCAGGAACTCATACCTCCAGTCCTCACTGCAGCTGCTTCAGTGCCCGTCATACCTGAAGGCCATTCTCTGTAGGATGGCAGGACTAGGGCCCACCTCAGGTCAGCGACTGGCCCATATGGTTTTGTCCCCAGTCTCCAGCCCCAGGGTTCCCTACCCAGCTGGCTCCTTGTGTCCTCTTCCTCCCTCCTACCCTTCTCCCCTGGTGTTTTCTGCAGGGACAGTGCAGAGGCCTTGAACAAACATCTAATTGTGCATGGCCATAATTCAGGTGTGCATACATTGGCCATTAGTGAGTGGGCACTGCTGCAGCCTGTAAGGATAACTGGGGACAATGAGGGGCTGCAAGGCTCAGGGACAGCAACTCTCATCCTATGCTGGTGGGAAAGCGAGTTGGTGCAACCACTTTCAGACCTAGGCAGGGTTTGATTTTTTACATATTTATTTTACGTGTATGTCTGTTTGCCTACATGTGTGTATGTGTACCACATGTATACGGTGACCACAGTGCCAGAAGAGGGCATTAGAGCCCCTGAAACTGGAGTTAGAGATGGTTGTCAGCTGCCATATGGGTGCTGGGAACAAAACCCAGGTCCTCTACAAGAACAATTAGTTCTCATGACCAGTGAGTCATCTCTCCAGCCCTGGGCAGGTTCTTAAGGCTGTGACCACAGTGCCTCTCCCACTCTGAAGACCCTAACCACACAAAAGATATACCAAGGTATATACAACTATTCATAAAACATCCAACTGCTCTCTGGGAACTCACCTCCCTGCTTGGGGAGGACCCGGTTAGGGCCACAGGCGTTGGTGTCACATATCTTTAATCCCAGCACTCAGGAGGCAGAAGTAGGCAGATCTCTGTGAG